CGTGACGTCATTATGCGGAGATACGTCATAGTGAGGTGCTTTTCATGATACATGTATACTAGAGCTGGGTATCACGACCAATCTCGCGATACGATACGTATCACGATACAGATTGACGATACCATAGGTATCGCGATATATCATGACAATCAGTAGACTAGTGATGAAACAGTGAAGATCTGAAGGAACAGGAAGCTCAAAATGAAGTGCAATAAAAAGCAAACTACAGCAATAATAAATTCAACACTTTTATTTAGTTCCATTGCCTATGGGAACAATAACAAAACAAAAAATTATCAAAACTTAAACAATTACAAAAATAAAATTAATATCCTGAGTATTTCATGATAAATTGAATTCATATTAATTAATCAGTTCAAATCACTATTATATTGGAACCCTGACAATGTCAGTGTTGGGGGATCATACATAACTAATTAGATCAGACTACAGCTCCACAACAAAACAGTAATAATCAAACTGGCCAAACGTTTTTTGGCTCCCACATCTTTTGTCCAGCTACTTATAACAGTCAGGATTAAGGATGTAATCAAACTACACTTGCATATAATAAAAGTAGTATTTAGTGTTCCAAAAAGACTGGTAGAAGCACAACAATTTAATGAATCTTGATCTATGCTAATAAATTAACTGAACTGGTACAATTTAATGTTCATGATGAAACATTGACTAGACCATTATAAAGACAATAAAACACAGAGAAGAACACCCGCCACATCAGTACCCTCAGATGCTATCGATCCATAGGTCGAGGCTGTACATTGGCAACCTTTACATATTCTTCTTTAGGAAAATCATCACATCCACGTATTTCGCCTTCAGCCCCGACCTCTGGGCCGATAGAATATCCCCAGTCGTAGAAAAAACCCTCTCTGACGGTACGGATGTCGCTGGTACACCAAGCAAATGTTTGGCAACTTTTGCCAGATGTGGACAATATATTGAATGTTCTCGCCACCAAACTAGGGGATTATCAGTTAGTTTAATTGGTTGTTCATTTGCATAGATCGATATTTCCTTCTCGATAATTTCCTGGGGTGTTAGCGGTTTTGCCTCCTCCACCTTCTCAACAAAGACGTCGCCCAACAGATCGTCCAACGCTGCCACTTTCCTTGGAGGAGGAGACTCGGATCGTCTGGAGACAAAGATCAGGGATGACAATGGCAGTGCTGGGCCTGATACATGCTCGTCCTGGTCAAGCTGTGGCAATGTGGGAAGCGCTGGAAGTTGGTCAAGCTGTGGCAATGTGGGGAGCGCTGGAAGTGTTGGCATCTGTGGTCGTGGAACAGCATCTGGGGGCTCCTGTTTGATACGTACCGCAGGTACCTGAATAATACATTAATGTCAAACACTAAAATCATGATTATTTGTTTCTTGCTGTTTTGGCTTTTGGGTTGATGACGTTATGTCTCATAAACACTCGATAGAAAGGGTAATTAAAAGATGTGGTAAATTTAGGACATATTTATGCTAGTGTTGCTTTATTTATGTGTTTTAACTTTTTGTTATTATGAAATATGTCATATTGAAGGAAAAAAATATATAGAAAATAAATTGTTTACAAATACAGTAAAATTTACAACCATTAATTTCCTACTTTGACTTTCTGTATAATACCTGCTGTACTGTCGATAATGCCATGCCTTGGACCGATTTCACTGTTCTGTCCTTTTCTTCCTCATTCAGGAACGGTACTTGTTTGAAGCGGGGATCAAGAAAGGTGGCTGTCTGCAGGAAAAGACGATCGTCCTCGTACCTTCAATAAAAATAAAGTCAGAATACTACTGGCTTATAGGCTTAACAATTCCAAGTTCATTCAATGTAATGATAATGAATGTATTGATATTTGATATTTTTTATATTGAATTAAAATAGTATTTATATTCAATATGATTTGTTTGTTCAGTTTATAACTTTATATATGTTGGAGTGGACACAATGCCAATACTAGGATAACAAGAAAGCATATTTGATTGAGTACATATTTTTTAAGTTTTGTTTTTTTAACACAAAATTTTATTCATTTTAAGTAACATCTAAGTTAAGCGTGTATAATTTTCATTATTTTTAGATCTTTTTAAATAATATTATTGACCTAAAACGTACCTTGTCTCGAGGTTGTCATGCATTGCTTTCTTGAGATTCTTTACAAGAGTAGTGTCTCCCGCTGCTGCAACCAGACTAGTGGAGAGCTTGTGTAACAGCGGACAGATAAGCGATAATGTGGGACCTTTCTCTGTACACAAAGCCACTGTCGCTTTCTTAAGCTGTGCCATGGTTTTGACCACTTCCTCCGCATTTGAAATGTCTCCATCATTAAGTGTAGAAAGGTCAGATTCCCTCTTTCTCAGATCTTTGGTCTCCAACAATGCCGCGTACACTGCTGCTTGTTGTTCGAGATATCGTTCAAGCATGTCGTATGCAGAGTTCCATCTAGTGGAAACATCAATTTTGAGCTTATGTTCTGATAAGCCAAGTAGCTTTTGCTTCTGCTTCAGAATGGTATTAGCTACGGTACTTTTGTGAAAAAACACAACAAGATTCAATGTATGGGCGAAACATCTGACGAAAGGGGTAAGTCCACATTCCCGAGCTGCCACAACCATGTTTGCTGCATTGTCCGATACCAAAGCCGGATGCTTGTCCATTAGTCCCCACTCGACAACGGCTGCTGAAATTACACCAGCAATATTGACTCCAGTATGTTTTTCATCCATACGCCTAGTCTGTAAGACATAGCTTTTCATTTCCCAGTTTTTGTCGATAAACTGAACAGTCACGGTTACATAGGACTCGGTCACTCGCGATGTCCATCTGAAACAACATGAGTTGCACAAATACATTTTACAGATCAGAAGAAAATATTCAAGATTTTCGCAAAAAACATGAAAATAGTAGATGAAAACATATTTTTGATTACTACATACAACAAGTTAAAAAAAATCACAGTTAATGAATTTGCAATGCAATAAATTATGTTAGTAGATGTTTTATTTCTAAAATAAAAAATATTCAAACTAATTATTAATTCAATTAAATTTTGATACCGATGTAATTCTGGAATATCACCAACTGGGCTATCATAAAAACTTAATTATCTGATGTTTAATTATTTAATATTTATCCTGAAATACAAACACATGTACCTTTATGATCCATTACTAGATTACTCAATACAGAATACATACCCATCTGTGGTGAGAGCTACAGTAGTAGCTTCACGTAGACTGTTCAAAACTTTCACTTTGACATCCTCGTACAAATTGGGAAGTTCAACTTCAGAGAGGTGATGCCGACCTGGTACCACATATCCTGGTTCCAGTATACTTATGAGCTTTTTAAATTTCGCCGACTCCACCAGTTTAAAGGGACGGAGATCGTCTACAATAAACTCGGTCAGTGCTGATGTAATACGTTGTTTTTCTGGAACAGTAAGTTTTTGGGTGCTTGTACTAGATTTAAACCGGAACAACGTAGACTGTGCCTTATCACTGGTGTGGGTTTCAGACAGCGACTTTACTGATTTTACTGCTAATGTTTCTGAACACCAACTTGGGGTCGGATCAATCGTAGTAATCGTAACGTTGCCAGTCTGCATAATTCCATGATGCCTACGGAGATGGGTGCTCATATTTGTGGTGTTGCCGCTATAAGCCAGAACAGCAAAGCATAATCTACAAGCCACTTGTTTTCTGTCCGAACCCTGAACAAACCCAAATTTTTTCCAAACCTCGGATTTAAAGGCTGCTGGAGCGTTTACTATCTTGACCCCTGTCTCCAAATCGGTGGCGGCCATGATTTTCATGTAATTGAAGAGCGCGGAAAGGGGAAGTAACTCTATTCACTAAAGTAGCTAAGGTGTCACACCACCAATCTTTTAGTATCGCGATTCGGGATAGCCGCGATTCAAGTATCGCGAATCGTGCAATGGCGAATACAATCGCAGGAATCGGTGAATCGTGCCAGCTCTAATGTATACTATATGAGCTCAGTAACGGGAAGACATACTCCACGACTAGGAGGACTTAAGGACTTGACCGCACCACATTGATTCTTCGGACGGCCGTGGTTTTCATAGTGACATTGATATTTGCATTGTAAATATTCATCTGTGTGGAAGTCATCATTTAGATGTGTGTGTGTTAGTGGATGTGAAGAATGATACATTATGTATATAAATGTGTAATGTGTAGGTGTAAATAAATTATACATATTGTACGTGATTGTCTCCCTTGTTTGTATAAGTAGCGTCATCGCTCTCCCACACTACAATTACAATAACTGACTTCATCAGTTGTGCTAGAATGTCATACTTCATCACACCAAAGTCATCCTTCATTAGTCCTACTTTATACCAGCATTTGTCAATAGGTTGCTCAATGTCAAACTCCAGTAAGGGATCAGACTGAAAAGTGTATAGTTGCTGTTGTAATTTTGTCAATGTTTCAGATAATGTCCTGCCAACTCCAATAAAATTTTGGAACTTTCTGGCAAAATATTCAATAGACTCCATAGACATGGATTGTCTGCGTTGATAGTAAACTCTAACATCTTCATAAAAGTTACATTTGGCAACTCATAGCCAACTACCAACTTATCATTGGGAAACTGTATTATCTTGTCTTCAAACATGACATCAAAAATGGTTTTTGACTTCACAATGTGTTCCGGTTGACAAGCCGTGAAAGAAATTCCTGATACAAACTTATTAACATTCTTTGAAGTACGTGTATGAGGGGCTCTTCTGCTTGTAATCTGAGATTGTATCTGTCAAAGATTTTTACACAGTTCTGTGAAAATGTGCATAGACCACGCATCTTTTGGAGAAAAAATTTGTACAGTCTTTTTTCTCAAGTATGTTGGAGTGTCTGATTTTTCAGGCGCTTTATCTTTTGCATTTGCTCTATGTTTTTCACTTTACTGTATATTACTCTTACCAGATGACTTGGCAAATTTGATCACACTTTCTCGGCTTTTACCTGTATCAACGTTTTTTTCCGGGACATTTTTCTTTGTTGATCCACTTGTTTTTTTCTGGACAGTTTGAATTGGCTGTTGCACTGTTTTTTATCTTGAACACTTTGCTCCGTCTGATGTGGCATTTGTTTTTCTTTGACAGTTTGTTTTGTTTTTTCTGTAGAATGAGTTGAGCTTTTCTTGGCAGATTGATTTTCCTCTCTCATTTTCGATTCAAAGTACTTTTTCAAGGGCACCCAATGATCTAAAAGTTTACCAAGACACTTTCCTACTGACAGCCACCTAGTGCATACATGCTTTAAAATTTTCTGAGTTTTCCAAGTCACAAAGATACAGAAATTGTTCTTAATTCTTGTTTTCCATTCGAACATATATCAAGGTAGTAAAACACATCTACCAATATTTCATCAAACTGATATGGCTGTGTGTTTGCAGCTTTCTCAGCAGCTAGCTTCAAGAGGTGACATGGGCAGCCCCTGACTATAATTTCATTGTTTTGCTTCTTTAAAAAGGCAGCTACACCTTTATTCTTTCCTGTCATTACTACAGCGTTGTCTACCCCAAGAGAAACATTTTTTTATATCCAACCCCTTGCAGGAAACGTCATTAAGTACAAGATTTGCTGTTTTCTCCTGTTGATATTTCTTTTACGTTTGGAACTGACAACAAGGAATTCACAACCTTTTCTTTGGTATCGTCAAAGTAAAAGACAACTATGGGATATAACTTCATATCCACATCTTTATTGCCATCTGTTGATACATTAAATGCCCTGTCTTTCATATTTGTTATCATGTCATTTGAAACTTCATGTGCCATTTCATAGACAATTGCTGTCGATTTAGTCTTACCACATCCATATTTCTTAGTGATATCGGAATCCGGAAACATTTTTGGAAAAAGTTTTGAGGCATGATCGGAATTTGCAAGGGGCAGATTGTGTTCAACACGAAATGAAGTGAAGAGACATTCTGCATTGATAACTGCTGAATCAGACTTTTTGAGAAAAAAAAGGTATCAACTGTTAACTTAGATGTTGATTCCTTGGCAATTTGTTTAGGTTTGTTCGTGTTGATATGTTTCTTGATGTCATTCTCGCCACCGTGAGAAATGCAGAAATCAGAACGACAAAGTGTACACTTTGCATAATGAATGCCGCGATCTGACTTGATTATACACTTAAACTTATCTGTATAGTCGTTTTTAAATTTCTGATCCCATGTCGGATCTTTACCATATAAATTAACAGCGTTTTCCGAGAAGACAACGGACACGGACCGGACACTTATTAAAGAAATGCCGAAAATAGTAAGTTTTCAATGAAAATTCGTAAGGCGTAATTTCAATAAAGAAATCGGCAGGATTACGCCAAAATCGGACGGGTTGGCAGCTCTGTATAACACCTATTCTCCATTAAACTGTCCAAATGATACGAGGTATTGGAAAAAAAAGGAACAAACAACATTATAATTCAAAACATTTTAATATGAAAACTTACACTCGAGAAAATATTTCTGTGAAATTTCATAACTCAGGCTTTACAGATAACAAAATTACACACAGTTTAATATCGAGACTGAAATGTTCTATGTAATCTACGAGACATTTAGGTATAATATCAATGGCGGTTGTAAATATCGTCATATTAAGGAATTTGCTAAGCATTATTGTATTGGATGATTATTTGATATATGCATTATGAAATAAAATACGTTTTCATCTGATGAACATAGTTATATTTTATCCATCAGGCACCAACGAATGATTATACAAATTGTGACAATTGTTCCTCATAATGTCAACGTAACTTTGTTGTATATAACCTTCTACGTTTACAAAGGGAATGTTTCTCTCGATAATAAGATGCAATGGATATCATTAGATAACATCCTTGTTGTCTTGTTAGTGTTTACATAGAACGTTATTTTATATACAAAATTGATTCCTGATAACGTAAATTACATTGTTCATAACGTAGATTACATTGATGGTTTCAAATAATTAAATTAAAATTATGTTTTTGACATGAACATTAATGCAGCAGATAACGAATAAAGAAGTAAAGTACATTCTCCAGTGTATTAAAAAGAGTAAACTTAGTCGTTATACTTGAAAAAATACATATTTTTTCTCAAAAATACCATTTGCGTGCATCAAATGTTATTTAAACCAATTTTAAACATTGCTTTTAACGAGAATAATTCCCAAACCATAAAACGTATGTACAACAATCATATAACATAATTCAAAAACAAATAAACAACTTTTTACTCAGGGATTAAACTTGTATCAACGCAACTGAGATTCAATAACGTAGATTACAGTACAATAATTTGTACACATTGACTGAATTAAACCAACCAACATTAACACAAAGGTAGTATACTGTACAAATAAACAACTGTAGATTATATGATATCTATCTAACATTTATAAAATAACTCATAATTATTGGATAACGTAACTAACACACTTCAAACACTGTTCGTTTCTATCAAAACACACTCACAAATTCTTAAAAAGCCTTCTGATTTCCTCAGAATCGTCCGACGATAAGCGATAACTTCTCCCGCTGCGGCCTACAGGTTCTAGTTTCTTTATTTTGAAGAAAATGTCTCTCCGCTTTACATTCAAGATGTCTACTGATGCCGGCCACTTGTACAAGTCTGTTTTGTCCGCGAATGATTTAGTCGACCTAAGAAACGACACTTCGAGTTCACCATCCTCGTCAATATCTTTGAGTACCTTTCCGACATACCATTCTTTATCATATAGCACGGCAACCCAGTCGTCTTTGTTTACAATTTCCTCTGCTTGAGTTATGGTATTTCCACCATCAAAATCCTGCCTTATTTCTACAGATTGGTCAACGGCCTCAATTGTGCTATGTACCTCCTTAATAACTTGTAGATTTTGCTCGTTTATTTCGATGCTGACTGTTTCTTCAGCTACACTCTCGTTTGTGCTACTAATCTCGCTAATCGGGCTTTGATTTTGCTGATTGGTGTTGTTAGTTGTGATGGGTTTACGGATAACCACCTCAGAGTAATTATGGACATTGCCCTTAAGACATTCAGAACAATAGCATGATGTTATAAATGTTTTCACCTTTCCTTCAGATGAAGGCAAAATTGATGGATCTGCATAGTACCTTTAACTGGCACCAACGACTTGTTAAGTTCTACTAGTTCTGACCGTACAACTTTCATTTCTGTGGAGGATACATAACGATATTCTGCACTCGTGTGTAATTTCTGTACATTTTGGAAGAATTCTTCTGCATCCTGAACAGTAATTTTCCCTTGTTTGATGGCAAGGTCCGCTGTGCGTTTGGATGTCCCTCCAATCCCGTCGCATGGGCGTTTCCCGTGGCCCGTTTCAAAATAATTCCAGGCCCCATTCACACCAAACAGATTCTTGTGATCTGATACTACATAGAACGCTGACTTATTCCGATATTGCGAGCTTGGACTATCTGTCCAATAGTGAATCCATTCAAGGTTAGCTACCTCACGTTTCAAATCCGGTACCAACTGTTTGAGAAAGGCAAGAACTGCTCCAAAGTTATGTCCCAAATCGTCTGAAACATACACAAAGTTCTTGTGTTTCAGAGATCCCGCATCACATTTAAAATAAGCTACAACGGGGTGGAGTGTAACTGATGTGCTGTTCCAATATGCACTCTGTACCTCATCTGCTGAATTGCAACTAAAATTTTCCGCAAAGTCCATTTGAACTATTGCTTGACCTGAAGGAAGATTTTCTTTGAGCTCATTGATGGCCTTATATTGTGTTTTCACTCGTTGTACGTGTTGCTGA